TCATGATCTCACAGTTCGTGAGTTCGAGCCCTGTGTCGGGTTCTTTGCTGACTGTTCATAGCCTGGAGCCTGTTTCGGATTCTGTGTCGCCTTCTCTCTCTGCCCCTCCCCCATTTGTACTTTGACTCTCTCTGTCTCTCTCTCTCTCTCTCAAAATAAGTAAACATAAAAAAATTTTTTAAAAAAGATATATACATTGGAATTGAGAATAGACTACTGTGTACAACACATTCAAGCTGTCGTAAAGGTAAGGTTAACGAACTTGGAAGGCAAAAAGGCTCAAGAGTACTGTGAAGTCTACTGCCATCATCTGGAAATCAGAGGAGAGCAAGAGCAAAGAAAGTTGGAGGGATGCATTTTAAAACTGACTTAGAGAGTAAGTCACTCATTCGCAAGTCCAGAAAAATACGACCTTTAAATTATATACACAGTTTTATTACTTGAAGACTCATCTCTATCTTAGAAATATACTTATGTAAATATGGTAAGTACCTGTGTCCCTTCATTAAAAGTCCATAAGGGGCAACAAAAACAAAAATAAACAAGAGAGACTACACCGGATTAAAAGCTTCTGTACAGCAAAGGAAACAGCAACAAAATGAAAAGGCAACCTACTGAATGGGAGAAAAATATTTGCAAATTGTATACTGGGAAAAGTTAATATACAAAATATGTAAAGAACTCATTCAACTCAATAACAAAAAAATGTAATTAAAAAGTGGACCAAGGACCTGAATAGATGTTTTTGTAAAGAAGACGTATAGGTGGCTAACAGGTACATGAAAGGATGTTCAGCATCACTAATATCAGGAAAATGCAGATCAAAACCACGCTGAGATATCTCCTCACGTCTCTTAGAATGGCTTTTATCAGAACAACAAGAAATAGTAAGTGTTGGTGAGGATGTGAAGAGGAAATCTTGTACACTGTGGGTGGGAAGGGAAGTCAGTGCAGCTGCCATGCAAAACAGTATGGAGGTGCCTCAGAAAGTTCAAGGTAGAACTACAATATGATCCAGCAATTCTGCTTCTGGTTATTTATCCAAAGAAAATGAAAACATTGACTTGAGGACATATATGCACCCCATGTTCATTGCACTATTATCTTATACTAGGGAAGATAGATACAGAAACAACTTAAGTATCCATTGACTGATGAATTGATGAAGAAGATATATATATATATATATATAT